TGAAACTATTAAAGTGCAACATCGTTATCTCTGCTTCAACAAACAAAACTTGGAAATTTAACTGAATCTTGGTGACTTAAGTCCCTGAATTATGTGGACATGGGAAACAGAGGTTCTAGTATCAGATTTATCAGTCAGGAGCCACTTTGCCTGACTAGGCTTTGGTTTCTCAACTGTGACTTGATTGCCAAGATCCCTTCTAGTTTCATATTCTGTATTTTTATTAATAGTTACACAGTAACATGATATAGTGGAACTTCAGGAAATTCCAAGGTGGACAGATCTTAATTTTCCCTTTCAATCTTGAATTGCTTCTTGCGCCCTTCCTACCAATGACAGGCGCTCAAGTCTGGATGACATACTTTTGGGCTGTAATCAATATTCCTTCTCTTTTCTCCAGGAGAATCCTTTTTGTTCTCTTCTGGCATCACCCCTGGGTTTCTTCTTGTTGCCCAGTCACCTACTTATTGTCACTTTTTGTGATGTCTCCACGTTTTCCCTTTTTATCTTTTCAGCCAATAAAAACCATTTTCTGATCAAATAGCTTCTGGAACCTTCATTCTTTTGACTGTTTTTGTTAATGCTCCTACTTAGAGACTGTCTTGGTAGCTTAATGGTTCAGAGTTCTGTTTCCTACAATTGTCTAAGAAATAGTTTTTGAGCATCTACCACAGGCCAGGCACCATGATAGCTCATCAACTTGGGAAAGAATTCTTTCAATGTGTTCTATCATTACAGTGGGGAAGAAGCAGATAGGACACCAGGAGCACAGACAACAAAAGCAAAAATAAACAAGTGGGACTATATCAAACCAAAACGCTTTTGCACAGCAAAGGAAAAAAATTAACAGAATGGAAAGGCAACCTGTGGAATGGGAGAATTTATTTGCAAACCGTATCTGATAAGGGCTTAATTTCCAAAATACATAAGAAACTTGTATGATTCAATAGTTAAAAAAACAAGTCGATTAGAAAATGGGCTAAGGACTTGAATAGCTATTTCTCTTAAGAAGATATACAAATGGCCAACAAGTACATGAGAAATGCTCAATGTCACTAATCAACAGGGAAATGCAAATCAAAACCACAGGGAGATGTCATTTCACATCTGTCAGTTTGGCCTTTTTTTTTTTTTTTAAGATGTTTTATTTGTTTGAGAGAGATGGGGTGAGCAAGAGCACAGCAGGGGGGAGGGACGGAGGGAGAGGGAGAAGCAAGCTCCCCACTGAGCAGGGAGCCCAACGCAGGGTTCGATCCCAGGACCCTGGGATCATGACCTGAGCCAAAGGCAGATGCTTAACCAACTGAGCCACCCAGGATCTCCAGTCAGGTTGGCTAGTTTCAAAAAACAAAAGACAACAAAGCACTGGCAAGGATGTAGAGAAACTGGAACCCTTGCACACCGCTGGTGGGAATGCAAAATGGTGCAGCCACTATGGAACACAAGAAATTTAAAAAAAAAATTCCTCAAGAAATTAAAAATATAACTACTGTTTGATCCCGCAATCCCATTTCTGGGTATTTACCCAAGAGAAATGAAATCAGGGTCTTGAAGAGATATCAGCACTCCCATGTTCACTGCAGCACTATTCATAAGAGCCAAGATGTGGAAACAATCTAAAAGTCTAACAGGTGAATCGATAAAGAAAATATGGTATATACATACTCTGGAATACAATTCAGCCTTAAAAAAGGAAATTTTGCAATATGCAATATGGATGAACCTTAAGGACATTATGTTAAGTGAAATAAGCCAGTCACAGAAAGACAGTCCTGCATGAATCCACCTGTATGAAGGAATGGTTCTATTTCCTGGATGTGAACTTCTCTGGTTGCAGGACTAGAAATGATCATGAGTTTTTGCATCAGTGAATTTGCTGCTACTTTCTAAGCAGCTGCCTGGAACTTATAACTGATCATGTTCCCCTTACTGAATAACCTGCTAAATACCTTTGTGCTAAACTGATTTGTGACTCACATTTAGCAAGTTTATAGGTCTTCATTAAATCCATTCATGTACTCACACCACTTCTGGTTCTATCTTACTTTGTTGTAATACCAAACCTTTGTTCTGTTGTTGTTCATTTAAAAAATTTTGCTACTGATGTTTTAATCTTAATTATAATTTTGGTTAGCTACCTTAAATCATTTTTTAAAAAATTATGAAAGAAATAGACTCCAAATCCCACTCAATAAAAAAGGGGGAAGGAGCAAACATGGTGGCTGCATACACAGGAATGGAGCAAGACTTCCAAGGTTCAAATTCCACCTCCTGTAGTTGTGAGCCATGTGAACCTTGGGCAAGTTACCAGATAACGCTGTACCTGGTTTTTGTCGTGAAACGGAGACAAGAATTCCTACCTCACAGAGCACGTTTCAGCTTTAAATAATACACTTAAAATTGTGAATTTATAACAGTGCCTGACACATAACAAATAGTCATATGTTAGCTGTGAGGAATTTATCTTATGCTGTGGTTTAACTTTAACATACATAGCTGAGTTTACAATCTAATGTCAACTGAAACAGACCAGCATTCCCATCATATCATCTGACAGAATGTTTGGACATGATGCTTTACAACAATTACTAGGAAAACTCTGATACTCTGAGATCTTATTTACTCCATTTTCTGCTGACAATATTATAAAAAATACAGGCATATTTCTTTAAGGGAAGCTGAATATTGATATCTGGACTTATAGGTTCAAGAATTCTTTGTTTTCGGTAAACATCTGAATATTCAAAAAATTTTTAAAAATAAAACACAACTTGTGCTTTGCCACTGCCAGAAAGAATTTGAAGCAGCAAAATATTAAGATTCAAAGGACTTTTTTTTTTTTTTTAAAGGCAAGAGCTACAGAAAAAGATGTACATGAAGAGAAGGGAGAAAAACTGTATCAGAATACATTGGTTAAAGGAAGTTAACTGTAGTTGAAATCAGAATTTCATTTCCTCAGAGGGCAGCCAAACCAAAGAGCGAAACATGAGAGGCGTCCCACCTCTCTATTTAATGACAGGAAGTTTGCCATTCATCAGGAACAACACTTCTTGTTTCTAAGCTAACAGAGCGTGTATGGAGAACTTTGTTCATGACGGTCAAGAACTTTGACAGCAGCTTAAAAAAAAGCAGAGACAGCTTACCTTTGGCAAGTACCTTGTCTAATAGGGGAGTCTCAACCTAATGTCCAAGGCTACGTTCCTGATTCCACAAGCAGTGTGCCCTACCCCTCAACTTTTCTTCTCATATCTCCACTTTAAATGGCAATTCTATTCTTCCAGTTGCTCAGGCCAAGTCATTCTTGACTCCTCTCCTTTTACACCCCATATCTATCTGCCAGCAAATATTGCCAGCTCTGTCTTCAAATATATCCAGGTTCTGGCCACTTTTCAAACCAGCTCCACCACCACCACTTTGACCCATGTCTCCATCATTTCCTTCCAGGGTTACTGGAAGGGTCTAACTGGTCCCCCCATTATCACTTCAGTCTATTTGCATCTATAAAAACGTAAGTTGGATCATGTCACTTCCCTGCTCAAAATCCTCCTATAGCTCCCATCTCACCCAGAATAAAAGCCAAGCCTCGGGAGGCACTCCATGATCTAGTTTCATCCCTTTTCCTCTCTGGTCTTACCTATGAACTCCTCCCTTTCACACTACGTAGCTACACTGCCGTTTTGCCATTACAGCAATATTCCAAGCACACTTTTACTTCAAGACTATTGCAATTGCTATTCCCTCTGACTAAATGTTCTTCTCCTAAGTGTGGCTTTCCCTTGCCCTCCTCTTTAATATTGCAAACATTCCCATGATATTTTGTATCTCCCTTTCCTGCTTTATATGAAACTTCAGCACCGTTCACTATCCATCATGCTGTGTCTTTTATTTTTCTTACTCACTTCTATCTTCCCCACTAAAATATAAGCTCCATGAGGGCAAGGATTTTTTTCCTGTTAAATCACCCAGTGTGGCTCGTTGTGTAGCAGATATTCAAATACCTGTTGCAAGAATGTGTAGATAAAATTTGAGGGCATGGTCTTAAAGTATACTTATTTCTGAAAGTGGGAGTGGGAGACAGAATAATATAGTTCACTAAGCAGTATTTTGGTGATCTGATATGCCACAGGGTTAATGCTTGCAACATAAATACGAAAGAATGGATCATAGATCTCTTAGCCAGTGGTCTCTAAAGTGGGATAGCACAAGATGATCCACCAGGATGAGGGGCCCAAGTGTTTAAATTGGTATGATAAATATAGTCCTAAGAAGTAACGGATGGATTTTCACTGGTGCCCTCACTCACTCAGTCTATGTGTCAGAAGATCATGCATCACCCATAGTTCTGGAGGTATCCTGAGGGAAGAGTAGAGTAGGAGTCCTCATGTTAGATGTAATTATATACTTATTTACATTCTTATATATTCCTATCCTATTTTACATATACCAGAATATTCTTAAAATGGTAGAAGTGAGCGATGACAGCTTCAAGAAGATAGTCTGGTAGGACTCCTCCTTCTGGGTCTCTGCCCTGTCTTACTTCATGACTCTAACGTGTTTGATGAAGGGAAATTCCCTATACAAATTAAGAAACACTTAGATGGTAAAATCACTTTGATAAATGAGTTAAGCCATAAAGATGATCTTTCTTCCGAGTACATTTGGGAGACCTAAATACAACTTTTTCTCCTCGGCCAGAATACTGATATTCCCTCAATACAACTGAGTAACTAAAAGTGTTCCATTAGGCATCAGCAAAATGACAGAACCAATATTCAAAATGCTTGAACAGAAAAACACCTAATGATTTAAATTACCTGAGTTTTCAAAACTTGAATTTGATAGAAAATGAACCAGACTTTTCATAGTTGGGAGGAGGGGGGAACTGAGGCACTCTGCGAAGAACATGAACTTTCCATGGTCAGTGAAGCACTGTTTCAACGGTCTAGTACCCTACTCTTGCAGAGGGCCAATGCCCTAGCAGGACCTTACCAAAGCTTCAATTATTCAACCACTAACCAAAGTTCCTTTATTAAGAGGTAAGAGATGCTTTCCCAAGAGAACCAGAGATTTAAAGTGTTACATTAAATGCAAATTCTTCATCTATTTCAAGTGAATATTTTTGAAGTGTGTGGGGGGGTAGATTTGTCCAAGAGTTTTCATTTCTGGTTTCCCATTCTCAGTTATGCAAAAACGAACTCACGGAGACAAATTCAAGTATCTATTTTGAAAAGTATTTACTTAGTTTGAATAAATTAATTGCAAATAAAAATTAGCTACAATATATAGCCTGAATAGAAATGACTAGAACAAATACAACACAGGACTTGATTTCCTTGCATTAGTCACAAAGCATGTGACTATCTAGAAAACTTCAAAATCAATTATATTTCTTTGAAAACGGGGTAACAGCAGTTACTGATACATCACAACTAGTAAACTTATAATACAAGTTTCCTGACATGCATTTCCTGAGTGAACCCAAATGATCATTTTTAAAAACAAGGAAATTTTGACAAGTTGAATTAAAGTGAAATAGTTCATGGCTTCTAAGCAACAGGTTTTGTTATTTTTTTTTTAAACCAAAAGAAAATTCAGAACAGTATAGTAATAGTTATGATAAATTAAAGCTATACTACCACATACGAAAATTTGCTACAGTCAATTATTACACAACTTGTGAACTAAAGGAAAAACAAATCAAAAGATTAAAAAAAAAGATTCTGTCTAATCTAAAAGTGTACTGATTTCTACAAGTGTCGCAAAGGGTTTGATGTAGTGCAACTGTCTATACTTCCTTTGTGGTGCATTAAAAAAAGGGGAGGGGAGGGAGTGAAGAAACGTTTTCTTGCTTCTTTAAGCAAAGAACTTATTGGAATTAGAGAATAAACATACCATGCAAGTATGTTCCCCTACTTGGCTGTCACTGGTGCTCATCTGCCAACCAAACATTTCCTTGAGTCACATGGTGGCAACTCTCCTTAGGATTCAAAGCCCACAAAGTTAAGGCTGGTCTGTTAGGTTAAAAAAGGGGGGGGGGCACTATTGTCATTGAATCCTTTGTATCTCTCCACATTTCTTAATGCCTGGATAAGACCACAAACAGAATAATCAATTAAGTATTTCTTCTTCTAAAAGCAAATCAAGTCACTCTCCTCCTTGTTAATTTATGCTTTTCCTCATGAGAATGATTTTTTTTTTCTAGAAACAGTGAACAGATGAACCACAGTTTATATCTAAAAAATAAACTTGCCAAATGTTGCTGGTACTAAAAACAGATTAGTTATCATGGGAGAAAAATAGATAATCTAGATTAAATTGCATATTCAAAGGAGCATATAAAATGTTTCTTAGCATTAAGTTTTTGTTATATACTACACTTGAGAGAACATTAAGAAAAAAAACTTTCCTGATTATATTCAATGTGGTTAAAAACAAACAGCTCTTACACAATAATAATTAATATGAATTTGGTTTTACAAAGTATTTTAATTTACCAAATTCCATCTTTAGAAGGGGGCAGGGAGAGAGGCTCTCTTGTCCTTCTAAGCTTGTAAATCCTTGAGCTATGCTCGCTAAACTACCATTCACACCGCAAGTGTGACACCATCGTTACCATGCTACTCTATCAAGAACATTCTAAGATGTTTTCTATAATAAAGATAAATAGAAAAAAGTTAATATACATGTTGCTGTATTTTACAATGTTTGCAACAAACTGTAAACTAACATAGTTTGAACCAACAGTACCCTCAGTTATATAAAAACAATTTTCCAACACTGAGGATGGGTGATTCAAAAACACTAAAAGGAAGGCAACAAATTATAGATTGCATCTTTTTATCCTCAAAATATATTTTCAAAACTCAGAATTCAAAGTCTGGTACTTTCAGAAATTCTTTTTCTCGAGTTTCCCAGATTTTTTGATCAGAAATTGTTACTACTTATTATAAATGTTTAAAAAAATTCTTCATCTTAATGCAAATGACCAGAGCAGAGAAACTGTGACATGGACAACAGGTTGGAAAACCCAACTCACTTAGCTTATAAATTTATAATGTAGTCCTGGAGGACAACTGTCTGTTAGTCTAGAGGTCCTTGGAAAATAAGTCTGATGTAGCCTTGTTCACCAGCCAACTGATGTGCACAAAAGGGGCAGGCTGCATGAAAAGTATGAGTACCATGAGGAAGCGGGATCTGGGACCAATAGGCAGTTGTCTTTTCTGAACACACATGCCCACATGGGCTGAACGCATGGGTTGGAGGGCCGGCGTCCACATAAAATCCAGCTTCACATCCAAGCCACAGAGGGACATAGGGACCAACAGACCTACACATGGGACATTCACGATCTTTTCCATCACGTTCTTCTTTGTTTCCCCAGTTATGATAGCCATGCACATGGCCGCAGTTTAGATACACCCATGGTTGTTTTTCATCGACAACATCTTTCCTCTTCATACTAGGAAATGCTAGTGTGTTGAACCCTACAGGGCACTGAGGTCGTGCTGCATTGATTTCCTGTCTTAAAGCTTCTAAATGCTTCACTGTAGGAGTGTGGGAAAGGCCTTCTGCAGTACGCCACAGCAATGTTGCACCACAGAGGTCAATTAATGAGCCATCTTGCAACTGATTGGTTTCAATTTCCACCTAGAAGAAACAAGGATCAAAAAACATTCAACACTGTGTTTTCAATTTTTACATGAGAGTTTTGGTCTTACATGCTCCTTACTCAAGAATCGAGATTTCCTATGATTGTTACTAAATATAAGAAACTCTAATGGCAGTCATGAAAAATATAAGTTTGAAAATCAAGGATAAAATATGGAGCAGGAACATATTTCTTTTCAGCTTTATAGTGAAGACTATTTATGATTAAAACACCTGGCTATTCAGTAAGTCTAATATTTCCCATATACATCATGGTCAAAGAGATATAAATAGAAACTACACAGTGCTATTTAATTTAGGAAAGCTTAGGTTTTAAAATATATTAACATAATATGAAAAGAACAAATTTTTAAAGTGTCCTGATTGAAACATTAAGATATTACCCTCTAGTATAATATTTAGCAGTCAGTGTTTCTGATAGTGAGACTTAAGCACTCTGTGTCAGCATTTGAGAGTTTTTGGAATTATGTAATTCATTCAGTCCAACTCACCCAATGTGTTTACTGGAGCTAAATAAGAGGCTACATCTCAATACTTACCATTTTTCCTCTCTGCTGAGCTGATCTGGTTTCCCGCAGGCTAAATACATTTCCACACACTGATATTTCTCTCCATATTCCAGGCTTGGAGTCTTCTGTGAACCCATTGCGTGGATGCATAACAAGAACGCCATTAGTGGTCAAACCATCCATCTGCCCATCTGATGTCTTCCACTTGGCAGCCTTCTCCTAGTAGCAATAAGAATAGTGAGCTTCCAGTTTTTTGTAATTTAGAAACAGAAGTGGTTAAAAATAATGCACCAGTTAGGAAAAAAGCTTTTTACCCCAAGAAAGATGTTTTTTGATGAGTCAAATCCTGCAGCATAAATCCGTGCTGTAAAGGGGGGATTCCGTTCACAGATGATTCTACAGGCAAATCTTGATATAGTGCTTTGCACTGACTGTGTATCAGAATTACTTTGGCTTCCAGGAACTGTGTCAGTTACTACAAAATCAATGGGACTTTCAGTCGACCGACCAATCTAAGGGAAAAAGAAATATCTATAAACCTATTGAAAGGAACACAGTGGAAAATTCATTCAAGAAAGGTACAAGAAGATGAAATCATTAAGCCTCTGAAATTTCTAAAGCTCAAACTTATACTTAACTCTGAGAGCATACACACCCTAGAAAACTAATCTGTCAAACTTGTTCTGACATAATAATTATTTAGAGCATAGGAGTAAATGGGAACTTACCATCCAGAATATATGAAACCCTCAGGGAATACAGAGTTTAGGATGGCCGAGATTTCTAGATGGCTGCAGCTTTTAATTTTAACCCCTTTGGATGGAAATATGCCTACCATGTATTACTCTGCCTTCTTTAACAGAATATAGTGAACATACAAGTAAGTCTTTTATGATGTCTCCAGGACATTAAACTATAAATACCATTTATATTACACTGAATGCAGTGATGTCTTCAGGTGCTATAAAGGTGTACAAGAAGGCTGATCCTTATGTTATGGGCTTACATAGCTTTCTTTGAGGTCTTATATATACTTTATATTCTCATGTGTTCTGTCAGGTTGTCAGCTATCACTTCTTGCTGTTGGGCATACTTGACTCTAGCAGCATACCCCTCCTCTAACTAGTCACTATTATTCTGCTATGGGTGGAGAAATCAAAAAAACTAAACTTTAAAGAACAGAATTTCAAAAGGTTCTTGGTAAGTTCCTAAAGGATTCTCCCGGGAGCAAAGAAAAGGAATTTTAGTGCGTGGCCTTATGTGGCCTTTATTTTATAGGCCTAGATGTCCTTTTTATTTTCTTCCTGGTTCTTGGCTATATTTTAGAGAGACAAGGTTTCCAGATAAGAGTTCTGGTGGATGGGTTGGCAAATTAAAACATCTTCAGAGGTACTAGCTAGGAAATATATTAATTTTCATTTTGAAAGATGAAAGTTGAGAAGAAAAAAGGAAATAGGTGACAGAACTGATTGTCACAGGGTTTTAAAGTAAACATTTAAAAATGAAAAGAAAAAAGGAAATCTGTGGAAGAGATGACAGACCTGACAAATGTCACAGGGTTTTAAAGTAAACATTTAAAAATGATGAGTTCATTCATGTATTTGTTATAAAGTAGTATCATAAAATTGAAGAAAGTGGATACTGAGAAAAAACACTGACCCTCTACAATGATGACGACACTTCAAAGTCATTCTTTGCATAGCTGAGCCTCAAGAACTCCTCATAACCGCACACTTTCGGATAAAATCCTTTTAGCATTTTTGTCCTATCAAGTATAAGTCTTTCTTTAGTTTGGATAGTTTTAGAAGAAAACTGGTTGGCTAACAAACGTAAGCCTGGATGTCCCTTTTCCTGCTTTTTAAGATAATGATATCCAAAGAAAATGGTCTCAGACTTTTGAAACTAAAAATATTTCTAAGAATAAAAGGCTATTTTAGATCCAAAAGATGTAGGCCCAGGAATGGGTTGAGGATTGATTTTTTGAATCAAGATATTCAGAAGTGACTTATTTGGAAGGAGAGATTGTTCCAAAAGAGTTGAGATTTGATCTGGGTCTTAGAGGAGATTTAAGACATCAAAGCAATATTGGTCAAGACAGGTAAGAAGGAAGAAATCTATAAAGAGAAAAAACCTATGTGATCATGATCAGATGCCAAAATATAACTGTGCATTAAGATAAATTTTAGTAATTCCTCTTCTAACTGCTACTATTAGCTTTAAAAATATAGATCTTATCATGTCATTCCCTCCCACTCTCATTAAAAACCCTAATGGTTCCTTACAGACTATCCAAACTTCTTAGTTTCTTATTTTCTTATTTTTGTAACAATTAGAAACTGACTTCACAATTTGCTTCCCACTGATCCAGCTTAATTTCCTATCATTGCTAATCATACAAAAAGTATATTCTACCTACAAGCAGCTCACTTGTCAATGTTCTACCACACTGTGTACTTTGCCATCTCTTTTGTCAGAATGCCTTTCTACTGGCTGGACTGACAAAATCCTACTCAACTTGATCAAAAAAAAAAAGTCTGGAAAAAGGGCACTGCTATGAAGTCTTTCCCTCACCCTTCTTCAACCCAATCAGAAACTTGTACTTCACATTTAGACTGCCAGTGTAGCACCTATGAATACAATCAACTTGTAATGTCTTTATTTACTTCATAGTGTTAACCAATGCAGAGTTGGAGTTTGAACAGCTGATGAATTGAACAAAAAATGTTCTTGTACAGTTTGGAAGGCAGGCAATCCCAGAATGATTATAAAACCAGTTCCTCAAGGACTGGCTAATTTATCAGGGTAGTTTTGGATATATCTACAGTTTTTAATGTAGAAATGTTTGGATTTTCCATTGGTATAATGCTTTATAGAAGGAGCATCATGACTACTACTTAGGAAAAACTCTCTATTCCTTTATGAAAAGGAAGAAAACAAAAATGGTGCAACTTATTTAAGGACCTTCATAAGATGGTAAAGACACTGTTCTATAAATCAGAATGCCTGGTTTAATCCCAATTCTGCCCCCAACTAACTTTGTAACCTTTAACTCACAAGATTTCAGTAACTTTACTGACAAAAAATAAGGGGTAAACAAATGAATTCAAGGTATTTTCTGAAACTAAAATTCTAGTCTGTGGTCAAACATCTAGGTAGCATCTTGATTTTAACTGGTTGTCAGTGAAATAAAATGTGGAAAATCATCCTAAAGCTTGTGTTAGGTTCTCATTAAGATCCCAACCTTCATCTTCATTAAGGGTGTTATTTATCTTAAATTTTTTTGGCAACAGCAAGAAATATAAACATACATCCATATTCTGATATAGAGACACTATTCTAAAAAATTCAGTATTCTACTAGAAGGGCTGGGGGGAGTGATAAGTGACCTCAATGAGAAATAATTTGCTATTGGTTATAATTAAAGACATCTCCAGGCCTTTAGATTTCAATCTTGATATAAAAAAAGAAAAATTGAAAAGTCATTGGGACAGTAATTGTAAGAGCAACATTATCAGGTACTTTATGTCCTATTTGTTTCCAAAAAATCCAGGGTTTTACAAAACCAAACAAGGGAGAAGACATCATGGATTCTGTTTACATCTTTGGGTTTGACTGTTCTATCATCTATCAAGTTTATAAAAACATCAGCACTGGACTGGTACAAAAAGGAGAGAAAAAAACCTTTTACCGCATTAGTAGCTTGGAGCAAATGTGTGCTGAAAAACACGTTTGATCACAAACATGATATGGACAATTAGAGACTGCCTGTACATTTTCCTACTTAGAGAGGAAGGTGGGAAATAGTGGCAAAAACGGTCATAAATATACGCAGAATATTTCCTGGTTCTTTTTTTTTTGGATAATAGCTATCTGAGATATTATTATAACCGCTATTATTAATAGCTAAGTGTTTACCAGCTCCCTGGCCCAGCTTTGAGCACTTTACATGTATTAACAACACATTTAAGCCTCCTAAATGTCATATGAAGGAAGCTCTATTATCTGCACTTCATAGGAGCAAAGTGAGCCATAGAGTGGTTAAGTAATGTTTACCAGAGCCCATTTCTTAACCATGCTACGCTGACTTCTATATATGAGATTTAGAAATCAAAATATATTTTAATGTAATACATGACTAAAATAGGATAATCACGAAACTGAACACAGCAAAAGTCACTGACAATAGGTTTTCAACTTTTTTGTTTTTTTTTAAGACAAAAAATAATTCAGATGTTATAGTACCTGAAACATATCAGTGTTGCTGTCATGAGTATATTCAACCACCACCGTCTGGGCCCGAGATAAGGTATATGATATGCTGTGCTGGTCCTTGTTGCTTATTGCCTAAGAAAGAAAAGATTAATAGCAAAAATTAGCTGGTAGGCCAATCAAATCAAATTCAGAAAAGTAATCTATCACGTCTGACCTATTTTCCTCCCAAATTTAAGGTAGACACTAATAACTCTTCTGTAACCTCAGCTGACAGTAGTTACTCAGGTTGAGTGGGGTTTCAAGAATACCTTGAAGATGTTATACAGTAAGAACATAATTTCATTGTACAAAAACACTGTAAAATCTAGGTCTCCCTTACAAATATTTTAAATTATAAAGTAATCAAAATCAAAGCCCGTGCAGAAACTGAAAATAGTACTCGATCATGCTCTAGTAAGGAGGAAATACAGAATTTTGCAAGATAAGAAGATTCTTATTTTTAAAGTAACTCACAGAGTTATAAACAAGTTACCAACAAGCAGAGTTAAATGGTCTTCTTAATCATTCTGTGACTCTATAGGTGACAAATATTTGCCATATGCTGGGCAAATACAGAAAAATTCATAGAATGATTAAACATTACCAAAGGAAATGGACACAATGCTTACGACTGTATTTTTGACTTATCCCAAACTAAAACTAAAAACATTGCTAAAAAGAACTTTTCGGTTTTGTTTTCAGGCGTTTTCTATGTATATGAGTTGAAGATAATATCAGAAAGGGGGAAAACCTGCACAAAGGAAGTGGAAATAGGTTGCGTAAAAGGAAAACAGATACAAAACAGATACAAAGACACAAAAGAATGATTATACAAAGCAAAGAAGCTAAATTCAAAATATGTTTCTTTCTTTTTCTTTTAAAGATTTTATTTATTTATTTGACAGAGAGAGAGTACAAGTAGGCGAGCAGCAGGCAGAGGGAGAGGGAGAAGCAGGCTCCTCACCAAGCAGAGAGCCCGATGTGGGGCTCGATCCCAGGACCCTGGGATCATGACCTGAGCCAGAGGCAGATGCTCAACGACTGAGCCACCCAGGCGCCCGCAAAAAATGTTTCTTAATTAGAACGCTGGCATTATAAAACCTTACTTGGTTTCAATTTGTAGGTAATCTGTAATAGATAAAGCCTTAAAATAATAGCTTTAAAATTAGTTAAGGCTGTGGAATTTTCAAATATTTAAAGAGAATAAATAAAACACCTGGGTACCAACTACCCAGCTTTATCAAACCATAACAATGCCATTTTTGCTTCTGGTTTCTTAAAAGAAATTAAATTCAACAGCAGTGTCAAGGCTGCTTACATGTTTCTCTCACTCCCCTATCTTCATAGAGGTATCCAACACCTCATTAACACAATGTAGATCATTCCCATGCATGTTGTTGATGTTTTTAAAATAAACATTATATAATTGTTTTATAGATTTTAAAAACTATAATTACTTTATTTAGCATAAAGCATTGATTTTCTAATCAAATAACTGCCCATAATCTTGGAAGTAATGTATTTTTTTTTAATTTTTATTTATTTATTTGACAGAGAGACACAGGGAGAGAGGGAACACAGCAGAGGGAGTGGGAGGAGAAGCAGGCTTCCCACTGAGCAGGGAGCCTGACGCGGGGCTCGATCCCAGGACCCCGGGATCACAACCTGAGCCAAAGGCAGACACTTAACAACTGAGCCACCCAGGTGTCCCGGAAGTAATGTATTCTTAGTGGCTAAAGTGATTTAAAAACACAGGTTTTTGTGTACTTTGAGATTGTAATCTCTGGCTTTTTAGCTATTAAACCTAGTCTTAGATTATGAATAAGAACTATGTCTAGTTAAGTTCTCACTGGACTGAAAGGCGGGGTTTAACCTTATCCCAGATGACTGCCAGAATAGGGTATTTTAGAAATAGGGATCATAACTATTTTCCCTCTGCTAGTGGTTCTCAACCAGAGGTAGTATTAGCTGTGAAAGGGGCACTTGGAAATATGTAGGTGAATTTTCTGGCTGTGATTTGCAGGCTTACATGGCATTAGCGGTTGGGGACAACATGGCAGACAACCCTGCACAGAGAAGTGGCGTACCCCAAATGCAAGAGCACGCTGCAGCGGCAGTTCTGGCACAGAGCTCCTTGGCCTGGGTTACTAGCTTTCACTCACTCTCACCACCTGCTTAGCACAACCCTTCTCTGCAAAGGAGCAAAAAGAAACACTTGAAAAGAAACTGTCCCTTTTCTATATTCACTGGGTCTCAAACAGTAATAGAGGAGGCCTCATCAAGACATGAGGACTGTTCTAGTCACCATGCTGGATACAAAACAAATTCAATTAACTTCAGGGACTGGAGCTATGACCTAAAACAAGTCACCATATGCCAATTTTTCTGTTTCTTGTTTAACTTACAAAGATATACCTCAGATGGTAAAATATTAATGCACATCCTGGGGCTACCTAGCTAAAGATACAATTACTTCCAGAAGCTGAGAGGCTCTTTGTAATTTTTATTCACTCAACACAATATCAAATACAAATTTTGTGTTACAAAATTGGAAGTAGAGGAATTCAGAGAAATGGAAAGATTTAAAATTCCCTATAAATTGTCTTTCATTCCAGGAAAAGCCTAAGTGTCCCGAAATGATGGCTCAGGTTCTGGAGATTTTGATAGGGAGAGAAAAAGGAGCTAAAAGCATTAAATATACTGGGAGACTGAGAAGTTATACTGTAGATACAGTTGGGTATTTGCTTTTATAGTTTTGGTTCAATTTAATAGTTAACTGAGGTCCATTTTGTTCAAGGCACTATGTTTTTTAACAAAGCTTTTGCTTTGAGGGTCATAAAACAAGCAAACAAAAAATAAGAGCATACACAGAATCTTTGATAGAGATCTCTTATAAGAACCACACAATTAAACCCTTAGTTTAAAAAAAATCACCTCATCCAAACAATGCTTCTAGTACCTGAGTACTCTTATTATATACTACATTCCTTGCTCAGCCCAGGCAAGGCCCCTCTAGTAACACTGGAAACTCCCTACTTCTCAGGGTAGACAGCTGTATAATTCTAAATACCAGATAAAGCCCTGGTCCCAACCAACCTTTTTTAAAATTTCTTATTAAAAGGGAATGTTTCCTTCTAATTTCCACCCACTGATCCTGATTTGTCATTTAAAAAAAAAAAGTTTGATAAAAAGTTTGATGCCCTTCCATATGGCAGCGCTTCAGATATTGTCTCCAAAGTGTCTGCTCCTATTGAACAAGTGTCTGCTCCTATTGAAACAAAAGGAAACTTCTGGTACAGAATGTGAAGGGAATGCTAGAGAACAGAAACAACATGTGCAAGTCTTTCAATTTCTCAAGTTAACTTATTTAGTTTAATTTGGGTTTGTTTGCTTTTTACCTTTGCAGCCTGAGGAGTACAAGCAATATGCACAGTGCTGGGCTTCACCCCATTTGCCTTAGGTCTTTTAAACAAAGCAAACCTACTTTTCCTTCTTCCTCTATCGCCGTTTGGGAGGGATCCATTATACCTGATGGGAGGGAAAAAAGTTTAGGTGATCTCTTGTAAGAACCACACAATTCTGAAATAAATGCTTTATTTTGCTTTACAATATGGATCAATCTTCAATTAATCATCTATTAGCACACTGTAAGTATCTCAAATTCCCTTCAGTATTTGTTGATCCCTAGACCAGCTGTCTAAGTATGAAACAAAATGAGATTCTGGTTACACTCCAAGTCACAAAGAAGTATTTTTTTGGATTATAAATAGCCTTAAATTATCTGTATTTTTCTTTCCTCTTTTATTCAAGATAATCAAGAGCTGATTAATGGCATATCTGATTCCTTATGACTCATTCTATGTTTTTTAAAGGTGAATGTTTGTCTGTGCTAATACAACCTTTAAAAGTACAGTATGAATTGTCTAAAACAGAATCTCCTTTAATTGTCAACTAAATACTTTAAATAGCTTAACATCTGAAATTTTTAGACTCATTTGATAAGTCTGATAAGTCTTAGGACTTGAATGTGCACATACACATTCACGTTATGTTGGCAAAACTTATCCAACTGAGATGCCTGCTAAATAGTGACTAAACATATTTTTGTTGTTCAAATGTTATGACCACTTCTCCATGATACCATATACATGTGCTGAAAATACGCAAGTAAGCAAGGATTGGATAGGAAAGAAGTTCACAACAAAACATTTGGGTGTTTACCATGTAATAGGCACTACTGTGTTCTCTACCATACAGCACCTCATTTAATTCATCCTCATAAAAACTCTTGAGATTGGCATCACTCAACTTTTACAGTTTGGAATTTAAGTTATTCCCCAGGGGAATAAAATTCCTTAGAGCTCAGAGAAATTAAGTCATTTTCTGAAGGTCACACAAGTGACAATGGAAAAACTAGAATTTGAATCCAGGTGTTTGTGTCATGCTTTTTAAAATTCTTTATTGCTTCATTTTGGCATAAGCAATGGCTTAATAATAATCTCTCCTCATTCACTGTTCCCTGCCCCCTGACAAAATCTTTGGTTTGTTTCCTGGTCTCTCATTTATAGTTGGTCAATCTGAGGGAAAATGAGGCACGGACCAGGGACAATTTTGAGGTTGGAGGAGAATGTGATTATAAAATGGCCTACATCAGTGGCTGGCAAGAAAAAGAAGGGACTTTACTCACACTGCCATATACAGAAATTATACTGATTCTTTATAAAAATAAAACACACTGATTTCTGTTGGAGAAAGCCCTTGCCAATCTTGCTAGCCTTGCTAAGAGTTCAGAGTCACACCCCTTAATTAATACAGTACTAATTCTAGGCTGTGTGTTGCCACCAGCCCCACTTTGGGTCCTGACTGTTCTGTCTGCCTAGTTATATGCTTGTTTCCCTCCTGGGGATATACTCTCTATTCCCAAACATTGTGTTTCTGTAGCTCAAAACTCTATTCTAATAAAGTAGCAACAACATCAAACTGACAACCTTATCCAGCTTTATTTTTCCTAGAGGGCTGGAAAGAAGTATTATTTGTATTTTAAGACACCAAGTGCTAGATACAGAGACAACCACTATTGCCAAGGATTAACTGAGAAACTGCTGGGCTAAGAAAGGCAGTTTAAACCATATACTAAATTTTAAATTCCAGTCTTCAAATGACTCAGATTTCCTGGTAGAAGAATTTAACTTTGAATAATTTTTGGTAGTTAAAAGCTGTTTGTCATTAATACATTAAGATCTATGTGATGTGAAGTTGGTAACATTGTAGTTACTATATAAGTTTCTAATCTTTTAAGTTGTTTTTGAGAAAAAAGATTTTTAGCTCTCAAAGGGCCTGAGATGATCTTGTCTGTCATTTTACTAAAGAGGAAACCAAGACCCAGAATGGTGAAGTGACTTGCCCAAGGTCATATAACTAGCAATGTTGGAATAGGCACTGGAATCTAGCATTCCTGACTTCTAGTTAAGCTCATTAACTCCATATTATCTTCCGACTTTCTCTTACTCTCTGCTCTGAAACAAGGGACATATTCTCACTTAAACAAGACCTTGTACCAACCTGACTCTAAAACATGTTTTAAATGTCTAAAGTCATGTAATTGTTCCTAGACCTGTTTTCTAGACAGAAGAAAAGAAACATCAAGGAGAAAGTAAAATCTGCAATTTCTAGTTTCTGAAATTTCTAGCTAATAGACTATATTGTGTCTTTGTTTTGACAGTTAATGCAAGTTTATACTGAATAAACGAAATCATCTGTTCCTCATTCTTCAGATTGTGTCTGTGTAAGTTGTATGGATGAGAATATGTCAGAAGCAAACAAGTAGTGGGATTCTGGGCTTCAGGGTCATCGTATCTTTAGCCTGTACAACTCTATCACACGAAGAATAGGACCATAAGCACAAAGCAACAACTACCTCAGAAGGACAAAGGAACAAATAAATACTAACCTACATGAAATGACCTAAACGGGGAAGGGATTTTGGTAAAGTCAGGTGAGGCAAACTTTTCTAAAAGATGGGACAGGGAAGACAAATGGAAAAATTATATGACTTTAGACATTTAGACTGTACATTTTTCACTTTTAAGAAGCTTTATTCTTTCTGGGGGTAAGGGTGAGGCAAAGTTTATGCATATGTGAGCACTTATAAGAGATGGCATAAAAATGAGGATTAAAAGAGTTTCTTGATTTTTTTTTTTAAAGATTTATTTATTTGACAGAGAGAAACACAGCAAGAGAGGAAACACAAGAAGGGGGAGTGGGAGAGGGAGAAGCAGGCTTCCCATGGAGCGGGGAGCCCGATGCAGGGCTCGATCCCAGGACCCTGGGATCATGACCTGAGCCAAAGGCAGACGCTTAACGACTGAGCCACCCAGGTGCCCCAAGAGTTTCTTGATTTAACATTATCGATATTATTTTGAGGTAATATTATCCTGTAGCTTTAAATCATTTTTGGACATAGATAGGATATACAATCTAAAAAGTAATTTTAACCTAGATGTCAAAGTTACTATATATTATTCAATTTTATGTGTCATCAGATGGAGAAAACTTACCCTAAGACAATGAGTTCACCATATTTTACTGGTGCTTTGGATGGATGATTTTCTTGATCAGGAGAAAACATGAGCTTGGCTGTCTTTCTCAAATCTTTGTTCACTGGTCAGGAGCCTTGGGACACCTTTTGCATTATCTCCTAGAGAGAAAAAGTTTTCATTAATAATGTGAACAATGAATTTCAGTTTAAATAAAGATGTTATTTTCTAGCAGTCCTTGTAAGCACAATACTATGCAAAGTTATCATATAATATACAAAGTGTATGACATTTTCCCCAATAGTGGTTATATATTTGGTCCAACTGTTTAAATAGTTTAAAAATGTAAATTTGGTAACTTCTACTTCTAGGAAGATGGAGTAGGAGTATTTTTCCCTATTATTTCCACTAACTACAACTACAAACTCTGGATATTATATATAAAACATAAGAAGACTCTGAAAAGTAGAGAGAAGATAGACCAGCTAGGGACCTTGGGGCACAAGGAATGACACAGCGCTGAGTTTCTCTGGGTTTTCTTTATGCTTAATATATCCCAGATTAAGAGCTGAAGAATCTAGCAACCTGGAAATGTCAACTGGCAGAGACAAAAAAAAAAAAATCCACCCAAAAGCTTGCTCTCTCTAGTTAAAGGAATGAGGAAGGGGCTGCCTTAGTAAAAGAAATAACTTTTGACAATAACCACTCTACTGTAGCCAAACACCACAGAAAACACTGGCCTTACCACTGCCTACACAAGCAAGAGCCAAGTGGGGAGCCTAGATTTCCACCTCATGAGGCCGTAAGGAAGAAGCCTAGCCCCTGCCCCCAACCGGGGTATTGTCAGGGCAGCCAAGTAGGGAGCCAAGACTTCGACCCTGCTGGTTGGTAACATGCCCCCACCTCTACTCTAGCAGTGTCAGGGGAGCATGGACTTCCACACTCACTTGCAGTAACAAGGATTCCCTTCCCTTTGGGTGTCAATGAAGCCTGACTAGGGAAACTGGACTTCTATGTCTATCTGGCAGTAATAAGGAGGCAGCCACTATTCCCGAGCCAAGGCAATGACAGAAAAAGACAGTGGAAACAGTAGGTGTAGATAACATCCAGAGTCTCAGAACATAACACCAAAATGTCCAGGTTTCAATAGAAAACCATTCATTGTATTAAGAACTACAAAGATTTAAGACAATGCAAAAAGATAATAAAGACAAAAGCTGAGATGGCAGAGATCAGAATTACCTGAAAAGGATCAGAATTACCTGAAAAGGATTTTAAACCAATCATGATAAAAATGTGAAATGCTTTAATAAACAACTGCAAACATATTTGGGACCAAAAAAAAAAAAAAAGTCTGGACAAAGAAACAAAAATTTAAAAGCTCACTTTTTAGGATGGGCTTACCAGCAAAATAAAAGGGACATTATAAAGAATCAGTGAACCAGAAGAGAGAAATTACTTAATCTGAACAACAGAGGGAAAACAGACTAAAAGAAGAGGAAGGAGGGGGAGGAGAAGAGAAGGGAAGGGAAGGGAAGGGAAGGGAAGGGAAGGGAAGGGAAGGGAAGGAAAGGAAAGGAAAGGAAAGGAAAGGAAAAGAAAATGAAGAAAGACCAGAGCCTCCATGGACCTGTGGGACCACAGCAAAAGATCTAACATTTTTATCACTGGAACCCAGTAAGAGAGGAAAGAGAGTAGAGCTGAAAAAGTATTCAAATAATGGCTGGAAACTTGCCAAATTTGGAAAGAGAAACCACACAACCACAGATTCAAGAAACTGAACAAACCTCACAGAGCATAAACCTGAAGAATTCCATGCCAAGATACATCATAGAAGCCAGAAGAAAGTAGCATATATTTTTCAGGTGCTGAAAGAAAAGAACGGTCAACCCAGAATCCTATACCCAGCAAAAATGGAAGGGAAATCAAGACAGTTTCAGGTGAGGGAAAATTAAAGAGAACTTGTCACCATAGATCTACTCTATCAGAATGGCTAGCAGAAATTCTCTAAGAAAAATGATAAAAAAGAACCCTGGAACATCAGAAAAGAAGAAAGAACATGGTAAGTAAAAATACAGGTAATACAATAAGCTTTCCTTTTCTTGAATTTCTATAGGATGTCTGAAAGTCAAAGCAAAAATTATTAACACTGTCTGATGTGGTTTCAAATATATGTAAAGGAATATTTAAGACAATTATATATGGCACACCTGGGCATTTATCCTAGAGAAATGAAGACTTATGTTACAAACCCTATACATGAATGTTTATAGCAGCCTTATTCATAATAGCCAAAAACTGGAAACAATCCAGATGTTCTTCACTGAGTGAATGATTAAACTGTGGTACAACCATGTTGTGGAATAGTACTCAGCAATAAAAAGGAACACACTACTGGTATATATGAAATAACATGGCTGAATCTCTAGAGAATGATGTTGAGTAAAAAAAGCCAACCTCAACAGGTTACGAAAATGATTTTATTTATGTAACACTCTTGAAATGACAGAATTATAGAAATGGGAAACAGATAAATGCTTGCTAGGAGTTAAGGAGGGGGTGGGAGTAAAAGGGAAGTGGGCATGGCTACAGAAAGACAACAGAAAGGATCCCTGTGGTGATGGAAATGTTCTGTATTTTTACCAATGTCAATATTCTGGTTGTGATATTTTACTATAGTTTTGCAAGATATTACCATTGGGGGAAACTGTGTAAAGGATACACAGAATCTCTCTCTGTATTATTTCTTGTGACCACATATGAATCTACAATGATCCCAAATTAAAAAGCTTAATTAAGAAATATAAATTTGACACACATATGAAAAACAAAGTATTTCTGATAAGCCAGAAAAAATGCTACAATAAACAATCCCCATAATACTATCATGTTTATTTCATCAGCAGCTTAATGGGACCAGTTATTTCCTACACTTGTTCTCTCCATGGTCTTCCTGTTAGACCTGTTACAAAGGTTTTTCATAACAAAACTCTTACTAGCTAACCCATGATAGTCTCCTGATTTTATACTTCCATCAACAAGTTCCATAGGAAACTAATGAATGAAAAATGCCTATCTGTATTTTTCTATAGTACAGCGAAATACAGCCTCTATAGCAGCACTTTTGAAGAGAAGGCAACACAGACTATTTGTAGCCCAATGAGTAAGAACAAGTAAAAGGAAAAAGCTTAGCCATTTTGACCTCTTTTATCCGTTGTAACTGACATACACAGTTAAACCAGCAATTCAGACACACTAATTTTTGTTAGTAAATTTAAAAAACACTTATTATTTTAAATAAAACATGCTTAAGAACTATTTAAAAAACACATTTCCTCCATTCAAATACTCTATAAAATCCTCTCATCTCCCCAGAGAAATGTTTTATTTCAGTAAAATAAACTATACTGATCATATCCTCCATTTAGAAAAAGAAATAATATGAAGCTAACTAAAACCTTCAATGTAAAAATTTAAGAGTTTTAAAACAAATTAATTCAGGGGCACCTGGGTGGATCAGTTGTTAAGTGTCTGCCTTTGGCTCAGGTCATGATCCCAGGGTCCTGGGATTGAGCCCCAAGTCGGTCTCCCTGCTCTGCGGGAAGCCTGCTTCTCCCTCTCCCACTCCCCCTGCTTGTGTTTCCTCTCTCGCTGTGTCTGTCTCTGTCAAATAAATAAATACAATCTTTAAAAAAAAAATAGACTGTTTGGGGCACCTGGGTGGCTCAGTCATTAAGCATCTGCCTTCGGCTCAGGTCATGATCCCAGGGTCCTGGGATTGAGCCCCGCATCAGGCTCCCTGCTCCATGGGAAGCCTGCTTCTCCCTCTCCCACTCCCCCTGCTTGTGTTCCCTCTCTCACTGTGTCTCTCTCTGTCAAATAAATAAATAAAATCTTAAAAAAAAAAACCAAATTAATTCAAATTAACCAAAGAACAATTTTGGTTCCATATTACAAGACCTTCTGATCTATATTAAATCAGACTTTACTATACAAACAAGAATTCATACCCTCTTATTCCCCCCTCAAAGAAGCATCCCATTACAAAAAGCTAAGCAAAGCTTAATTAGAAGCTTTAACTGTGCTTTCCTTGTTAGACAATTAAGGTACTGTCATCAAACACAAAAACATTGCTTTGATACATTTCTGACCAAGAACAGCAAGAATTAAAAATGTAATAACAAGAATTAAATTTAAAGTTTAAATTAAATTTTAATAATGTGGCTTTGTCTTGATTTGTACTCCCATTTAGAGTTACTTTCTATTTTTAGGAAGTGATAATTTTCCATTTATAGTAGTAAAATGTTCCTTTTAAAAATAAAAACACTTATTTAAAGAGGTAAGTCAATTTAATAGTATTAAATAGTATCAATAAGTACACAGATACGGCTGAAATCTGAAAATGATAAATGTGACTGCCCATATTTGGCTGATACTCGTGTATAGCAGGGCTAGCAAATATTAGCTTATGTTCTAGTTCTGGCTCTCTTTGAACAAAGCAATGTTCCCTCATCTCTAAAAATGATGGGACTAAAGTAGAATGAAGAGAATTTTGGAGCTGTAAAAAATATGAGACCATCTGGTTCTAACATAAGAATTTATAAGTAATGTACATTTAGGACTATAGATTTAGTCCCATCACCTCGATAGCAAAAGGAACAATTTTTAGCTTTAACAAGTAACTGGAATAGGGCTAGCATATAACCACCATACAGACCTTGGCCAAATTAGCCAAGAAAAACAATAGATTTCCAATTATACTTATTTTTACTCTGCTTAGGTCCCTTAGAAGGCCTGATTTTGGGATATTTTATCAGTGATATCAAAGTCTCAATACAGGAACACACTCAAACTTGGCTTTTATTTCTGTATCTAATAATCTGAAAGCTGTAATGAAACACTTTAGTAGTACTGTTTATACACTTAAATGACCCAAGATAAACAGTTTTCTTAAATTCAAAATGGGCATATAACCAATGATATATAACTGGCATTCTTAAACTATGAATAACATATGCTATGACAGCTACTTCTCCTGGAACCTTTCATTGCAATTCTAATACATGTTTACATGTGTTTGTCAGAAAGAATTGTCAGAATCTTTACATGTTCTGAAGAGTCATGATTTTTACAGTGGTTTAGAATCTTTAACAAAGCCAAG